AGAGTAGTCAGTGCTTTCAACTGCTAAGCCATCTCTCTAACCTTAGATCTTAATACCTTTTAACTGAAACCCCAAATTTCCTTTTTCTCTTGGCCCCAGAAATTGTATCGTTAACCTTGATCACTTTGAATTAAATCAATTCTCGGAGTAAAACGGGTTATTTTAAAATCATGTTTCAAAGGGGGCCTGCCTCTTAGAAACATATGTCCACAAGGGAGGGAGAGATGAATCCTTTCCAATCCTCTTGTTCTACAAGTCGTCTTGGTTTGTCCTTAGGTAATCACTACAGTCTCTTTCTTCTGACACCTAACTCCACACCTCATTTGGCTGGTGGAAGACATAGTGGCTGCAGTGGAGGCGTGGAGGTGTGGCAGCCCTTGGTCAAGATCTGTAGCATCTGCATTAGTTACTCTGAGCTTGGACCTGCAGCCTCTGGAGTGCTTGGTGATTGACACCATGGCACACAAACATGACTGTGCTGTCCTGAGATCATATTGTGGGCCCAGCACTGAGCCAACAATGGATTGCTGGAACTTGGTCTGCACAGATATGGGAGGGATTCTGGCTGCAAAGGGGGTGGGTGGAGGAACTCCATTGCAAGCCCACATTGTGTACTTGTTTTCTCTGGACTCCCTGTGTCCCGTTCCCTCATAGCTTGTCTGGGGTCATATCCTTAACCCTAATCTCTCTGAGCTCCTTCTAGGGAGAACCCAACTTAGTACACTTGGTCATCCACAGACTTGACTTCTCAGGAGGTCACTGGAGCAGATGCAGGGTTATAGGTGAGGAGGGACAACAGTATTTACTGAGTGTTTGCTATATGCCTGTGTTAGAAATCTCTACTGTGTGTGTGTGTGTGTGTGTGTGTGTGTGTGTGTTCATCAGGGTATATGTACATGTATGCTTTGCTGGTGAAGATCAGAGATGGATGTTAGGTGCTCAGTTGTTTTCTAACTTATTTTTTGAGACAGTCTCTCACTGAACCTACTCTGTTAGGCTGGCTGCTAGTGTGCTCTGGGCATCTTCCTGTTTCCTTGTCCCTATCTTTGTATGGGTGCTGGAGATCTGACTTCAGGTCCTCTGGTTTACCAGTCAACACTCTACTGATAGAGCCACCTCCCCAGCCACTACGATGGCTTTTAGTTGGATTGTTGGTCTTGAGAATGAAAGATATGGGAAGGTATTTGGATATAAGATATTTAGTAAACCAAGTGACATCACTGATTGAGGACCTAGAGGTGAACTTAATAGGGGAGAGAAACAAGAGTCACAGAGACTTAAAATCATGACTTTCAAGGTAGCTTTTGCACTAGAGAGGCCAGTAGGTGGCTAAAGATGAAAAGTCACTTCAGTCTATGTGCAGGTCTCCCAGGAGCTGAGCCTTGACTGAGTCACATGAACTAGGCTTCAGTTGTTTACCTTGTAGCATGATGAAATCTTCCTTAGAGTTAGCACATGCAAGCTGTGTTTAGAGGTAGCCAAGGTTGTCCCTCATGCTAGCCGCCAAACTTAGTAATGTAAGAGTCACCCAGATGGTGCTGGTTTTGAAGGCACGAAAGGGTCACGGAGCACAACAGAGGCTTGGCACTGTCAAAAGCCAGGAGAGGCTGTTGGTGAAGGTTCAGCCTCAGTAACATTTGAAAGCCCAGAATCAAAGGGGTCACACAGAGAAGCTGAGTTGGGGCACCATGAAGAGAGACCCTGGAGAGGCCATTGGTGCAAAAGTGCATCCTACTTGCTAAAGAAGACCCCAGAAGTTCAGAGATATTGGTACCGTGGAACCACTGCCAAGAACAGCAGTTAGCAGTGGAGTGGAGGCTGCCAGAGCTTCAGAAGACAAGCTGTGTGTGCTGCAGCAGGTAGAGCTAGAATCTTGACCCAAACCATGTGGAGGAGCACGGAAGATCATGAATGAATCCCAGACATTGGGCATCGAGTCATTTACACAGTTGAGGTGGCATTGCTTTGGTTTTATTGTGACTATGCCCTGGTTATTCCTTCTTGAAGTAAGAAAACATATAATTTGTTTTTGATTTTATAGGTGAGAAACTTTAAACTTTTAAAAATGAGATTTTTGTCTTTTACAGAGACTTTAGATTTTTAAGTGAGAAAATTTTTTGAAGTATTTGAATTTGTAAGGCTGTGGGACAATTTCAGACTAAAATGTTTTATATTATGTTTTATTAATATTAATATTAATCAACAAGAAAGGAAAGGTTGTGGCTTAACGGTTATGTGTTTGTGTGTCAGGTTGACAAGGGGTCAGTTTTGCTGGCTAGATTTATGTAACTTGACACAAACTATGGTCATCTGAGAGGAGAAAACCCCAACTGAGAAAATGCCCTCCTTAAGATTGGGATGTAGGCAATCCTGTGGAGTTTTTCTTAATTAGTTATTGGTTTGGGAGGACCAACACCATTTTGGCTGGTGCCATCTCTGGATGGTGGTCCTGGGTTCTATAAGAAATCAGGCTAAGCATGCCATGATGAACAGTCCAGTAAACAGCACCCTCCATGGCCTCTGCATCAGTTCCTGCCTCCAGAACTCTGCCCTTCTTGAACTTCGGTCCTGACTTTCTTCAGTGAGGGACAGTGATGTGGAAGTGTAAGCCCAACTAACCCCTTTTCCCAAAGTTTCTGTTGTCATGGTGCTCCGTCAGAGCACAGGCTGTGAAGATGGTCTTTGTGTCTCCATTGGTAGCATTTTCTCTTTCTGACTGACATGCAATTAGGTCCCTTGACTTGGATTTCTAGTAAACATTTCCATGTTACATGTGTGTTGAATTATATGTGAAGCTGAATATCCTGGAGGTCTGAGGAAATTGCCCAGTTCCAAAGGACAGCAAAATATGAGACTCGGATACTTATCAGGCTCCCAGAAGCTCCCGTTTCTCTCTCCTTCTTGTCCACCCACTTTCTCTCCCATCCTCATTCCATCATCTCCTCTGTCTGCTGCTCTCCTGATGCCTGAGTGTTCAATCATTACAGAGTTATATTTGTTCACTCTTAACCCCTTTCCAAGTTGAAAAGGAGACCTCAACTCTTCCTACGCTCTAGGCATTTGCTTACACAAAGTCTTCCCCTCACCTGGCCACAATGATGTTTCTGGAAACAAGCATTTGGCTCACCCACTTGTGCCCCAATGGACCTCTTGTAGTAGGCATGGTTTTACATGTTATCCAGAGCTTCAGGTCACACCATACTCAGAGGAGGTGCAGGATCTCAAAAGAATCTTCAAGTTGGAAGGATACTTCTGGTTGGGATAAAGACAAAGAAATTCTCCAAGCTGAGAAAAGAGTGACCAAATATGAGTGTTAAAAAAGAGAACAGTGGGTAACAAGATAAAATATTGATGTGGGGAGGGGACCAGTGATGAGTTCCAGGGTTGATGGGGGTCCGAGGGGGATAAAGGAGAGTATGCCAGAGAGTAAGACAATGCACTAATATGTTTGTATTGTCGAAGAACAAAGAGTAAGCTGGTTGAGAGTCAACAGTTTTATCAATGCTGTGTCCTCTATGAAGGCACTCAGCATGTCACTGCTGGCTTCCCTCAGCAGTCAGTCCTCTTTCAGAGACATCCCCTCAGCACTCTGGACACTCCACTGGGGGCGTTTCATCTCTTCCCTGGGGTATCAGCCTCTCTAAAAGTTTTCATGGCCAGTTTTCTTGACCCATACTTGTCTACTGAGTGACATCCATAGAGGAAGCTGATTGAATGATGAGGTATTTCATTGCCTATCTAGAAAAATTCAGACTTGGAATGAACACCTTGAAGATGTCCTTTCCGCCGTGCCTGATTTAGAATTGAGTGAATAAAGTTGGAACAGAGAAATAATCTGAGCAAGGTTCATCATTATCTCATTAAGCCTGCCACAAAGACCGGGTCCATCCCCAGCTGTTGGGCAGGTGGTTCACCCAGCCTGCTGAGCAGACACAAAGCTACCTCAGTGGCTACATCCATAGCCCCAGACAGGAGGTATCCCATCATCACCTGTGGTGCAGGTGGAGCTAGGAGCTTTCTTTTGCCTTGCAGGTAATGTCGGGCAGGACAAGGATTTTAACCCAGGCAGTTGGGCATGCTGCGTGGGCACCAAGCCCCCCATGAGCCCCAATGTGGCAAATATGCAGAGAAGACCCTTTGGACTCTTTTTGGAATACTCCTATTATTGGGAGTATTTGAACAGTTCCCAGAACAATGATGGTCTCCCACACAGGTTTTAAACATCTTTGAAGAGTTTATGTCTAAGGAATTATTTTCCTTGTTTTAATCTTTTCAAGGATCTCTCTTTTTCTCTCTTTCTCACTCCTTCGAATGAATGTGTGAGTGCAGGCATGTATGTGTATGGTCAGAGAGCACCCTTAGTGTTAGTCCTTACTGTCCACCTTGCTTGGGATGGGTCTCTTTGTTCTTTTGTTACTGTTCAGATCAGTCGGTCTGGCCTGTGTGCTTCTGGGGGACCCTTTTATCTCCACCACCAGTCTGACCTTAGGAGCACTGGGATTATTGCCATGCACTATTTTCGCTAGCTGTACATGGGTTTGGTGTATTTGAACTCAGATCTTTACACTTGCACAGCAAGCATTTTACCCACTGAGTCATTTGCCCAGCCTGAGTTTTTTGAGTCTTGCATTCATTTCCTAATTACCGTTACACCTGGGTCTTCAGAAGACTAAGAGACACTAATCCCTAGAATCTGCCCCTCCTCCTCCAGGAAGCCCAGGTCCCCTCATGTGTTCTAATGCTCTCCGTAGGGTCCCAGTTCAATGTCTCAGGTTAGACTCCTTTAGGAGGTGCAGGGTGCAGCGTATTGCTAATGAAGTGGATGTTTACCTAGGTGATGGAAGACAGATGAATACATTTGCGGATTTCTCTCCACTGCCTGTGCTATGCAGTTGTCACAAAAGGGTGTGCCGTGCCCTTTGCATTAGAACAGCATTTTCTTGTCTGAAATAGACTCGTTGTCTATGCATCTTAACAAGGATCCTCTCTCTGCCTTCCAGTTTTACGGGAGCCCTATACAGTCCGTGTGGAGGACCAGAAAACCATGAGAGGCAATGTCGCGGTGTTCAAGTGCATTATCCCCTCCTCGGTGGAGGCGTACGTCACTGTCGTCTCATGGGAGAAAGACACGGTTTCACTTGTCTCAGGTAGGCTGAACAGTATCGCTTGTCATGAGGCTGCTTCAGAGGTAGGAATTGGGCTTCCATTTGTGTGTGATAGAAGGAAGAATTCCTTTGTGGATTACTTCAGAGGGTGAGCCTGCCTTGGTTGGCTCCCTATTATAAATAAGCCTGGTGGCATGCATGTGGTGGGGTTAACATACCCACTAGTATATGGTGGTCCACTTCCCATACTTATTGAAGAACTGGCTAATTAAGGGATATCAATTACTTGTACTGTGCAAACTTTTATGGGAAAATTGTGATTTTATTTCCGCTTTTAAAAATCAGGTAAGTTGAGTATCGTGTCCCTGAGACACTTCATTGATACAAGTGTGCTAATATTCTGGAACTGGCGTGCAAGCAGAAGCCGTGGTTTCTATTCTGTTGGTCCTTCTAAATGTGGCAAGAGTAATGTTGTATCACTGACTTTGGACTCGCCGTTTCTATTGAGAATCTATGGTCTATGCAGAAATGGATGGTCCTATGGAAATAACTTTTGGGTCTGTACTGGATGTCTAGAAGTGCCAGGCCAGCTCAATCAGCAGGAGATCACAATTTGTCCACTGCCAGTACTGTTGAAGTTGGCTTCTTGCCCTATGTTCTTGACCTGGAAAGGCCAGCTGGACATAGTGACCAGGCTTCCCATCTTGTGTCTCCTTTCATGGTGACTTCTGGTGTCTTAAAAATGTGTTGCTGCTGTGGGGAATAATTCTGATGTATGGTATGTTGTTACATGCAGAAAGCAACTTCTTTGCTCTCTGTGGTCTCCATGAAATAGGACAAGGAGTGTGCACATATGCACACACATGCATGTGCACACATATACTCTTATATATACACACACACAGACTACACACAGATATCACACACATACACCTATACATACATCCACGCCCCCACACATATGCATACTCATCACTCACACACATGTACACATGCATGCACACACATGTATGCATGTGCACACACACACTCCCTGAGTAGCTATAGCATCCTGTCAGTTCATAGAGACAAGCTACAACTCAGCCTGTCATGGAGATGCCTTGTTTTTGTTTCTGCTTCATGATTACCTTGGTGAGATCTGTCAACTGTCACTTCATGTAAAATAGCCACTTGAACGACCCAAGTGAAAATGAAGGTATGTCATCCTAAAAAACACACTGGAGAAGAAACACAGAATTGCAGGACAGGCAAGAGGCTGTAGTTTCATTTTTTGTTTGTTTGTTTGTTTTTGTTTTCATTTACGTTGCATTTTGTTTGTTGGTTTTCTATCCTGGGGTTGGGCACAGACATCGCACATGTTTAATAAGAATCCAGCCACACAACTTAATACTCTTGTGCTTTTCATTTTGAGAAGGGTCTCTATATGTCATCCTTGTTTCAGCCTTGTAAGTAGCTAGGATTATAGGCCTGTTTGCACAGCAAGCCTGGCTTCCGTAGTGGCTTAGAGAGAACTTGACACCCTCACACTTCAGTGGATGATAAGTGTTTGCTACAATGCTGATTAATCGTGTAATCTGTTATGGTCTGACAAACGCTGAGTTTCAGAGATGAACGTGATCGTGGCAATGAGAATAAAGACTCGCCTGCACACCTCCGCACTCCAACATTTATGGTTTGATGCTCTTCATGTTTTCTCCTTGAGAGTCTGTATGGCAAACCGGGATATTCTGAGGCAATCATTTACTGGTTCAGTGTTGAAGAGAAGGGGCTTTCATATTGACATGGTTAAGCTGAGAGTCTCCTGGGAGAGAAAGACATGCTGACATTGCTAGATATTTGTGTCTCAGGAGAGGAAACCTTGCTGCAATGGGTAGGGAGAATGTATCCCAATAGGAGACTATCTGGAACTTTGCCACTGTCCTCCTCACTTTGGCCTGAAGATTATTCCCCTATCACATAGCAACACATCCGGTTCAGGCCTCAGCATCTTCCCTGGGAGAAGTCATACTTGGACATAACACCTGCCATCTCTGTTCTTATGTAATTCGTCAAGGTAGTCACAAGCCCAGTGAGATCAGGGGATGTGGGCTTGAAAGGAGGAGAGCTGGAGAGTTGGCAATGGGATGTTATCTTATGAAAGAATCCATCAATGAACATCTGTTTGTATGCCAGCCAGGGAGAGACAGACAGACTCTAGACATTCATCCTGAATATAGCAGGCCTACAATTAGGCTGACTATCTTATTAATTCATAGCCGTGTTAAGCTCTGTCAGTAGAGGTGGGTGGGAGCGTAGCTCTGTGATAAGGTCCACTGGTGCTTATGGGTGCAATGCACCCACTGAGGGGACAAGGTTATGTGGTCACCGGGGTTGACAGAAGCCATTAACAATAGCCAGTATCTTGATAAATGAGCTAGTTTAGGATGGCTTGGGTGGAGAAGGCCTCTGCTTCTCTCTGGAGGTAACTCAGGGCACAGGGTATGTGAAGGCAGGGCAGCTCTGTGGAAGAACCATGTTGGGATTGAGGGGTGGTGGGGTATGAAGGCTGAGCTGCTGGGATGACTCCCAGATTCTTTGCAAGGGAGACCTTGCACAGCCTGCGGTCCCAGGCACAGCAAACTTCTTCTGAATCCAAGTTTAGCTCCAGAAAAAAAAAGTCTCAATGCCACATGCCCTGTTGGTGATCGCCAGAAGGTGAACTCATGTTTCCTGCATTCCATCTGCAAGTCTTGCCAGGTTCGTTAAGCTCTATCCCATGCTGCGCTCAGACCAGCTTCCCTTTTCCTGTATCTCCATGGCAGCCTAGGCTTCCAGGGCATTTGGTTGGAGCATCTGTCCAAGGCAGCATTCCTTCTTGGAGCATATCACCCAATTTAGCAGTGACCTCTCCCGTGGAAAACCTGGTATGAGTTCCATAGCAGTGAGTTGGTTCAGGAAACTGGGTTAGCTTCAGGAAGATGTTAGCCCCTGGCATCCAGGAGGGTCCCAAGAGCAGCACCAAGCACAGTGCCTCCCTCCTGAGACTTCTGGCAAGCCATTCTGGTCTCCAGGGTGCTGTGGGGCTCAGCCTTTAACGCCTGGGGGCCACTTGAGTTCAGAGCAGCCAAAGTGCTTTGATTTGTGAGCAGCAGGTTTGTGCACATCTTTGGACCAAAGGGTCTTTGGACTTTGGAAATGGATATTTGTCTTTCTGCAAGGGTGCACACATACACACGCACACGCACACACACACGCACGTGCGCACACAGGAAGGTGCCTCAGTATACTAGTGGAGGAACTCCCCTTATCTTATTTGAGACAAGGTCTATGGTTGTCCACTGTTGCTGTGTCTCTTACTCTAGGCTAGCTGGCCTGTGAGCCTCCATGTGTTCTCCTGACTCTACTTCATCTTTCCATAGGAGTGTTGGGATTACAGGCTTCTATATCCAGCTTTTTGTGGGGATAGAAACTCAGGTCCCCACACTTGTTTTGATAGTGCTTTGCTCACTGGATGTCTCTGGACCCCCAGCCCTTGAGAAGTCATTGCTTTTCGATGAAACGAAACTTGAATCACTGATACCTGACTACAAGAGGCCTCAGAATGATGTCTGTACCACAGTACATTACTTTCCTTCACCTTGGCTGAGAAAAATAAGCAAGAAGAAACAGGACTGGTCCAAGGGACTCTGATAGGAGCATCTGATGTGGTTGGCCCAATGGCCTCACTGCATATTGATTGGGCTGTATGCACCAACTTCTTTTTGGGACTGGGATGGGAGTGGGGATGGTGGAGCCTTCAGGTGGCCGGAGGCCCACTCTGAAACAAATTTTGCTTCTTCCGTATTCTTGAAGTTCCCAGTATCCAGCACATGAATGAGTTCATTTCTTTTGGATTATATTTGTAAAGAATACTTCGGTAGCCTAGGAGTGGAGTCCTATAATTACCTGAAAGATCATAATGTCTGATGGCTCCATTGCTGCCGCCTGGGCATCTCTCATCCCACATGGCTTCACCTTTGCTCTCAGCCTCTGGTACAGCGGATAGTAGGTTAGAGCTCTGTGTGTCCAGGACAGGTACATACCACCAACCTGACATCCTTATAAATATGGTGGACCCTGACCCACTGTCTTCTTAACACTACTGAAACAAGAACAGTGAGTCATGGGGGCTGCCTGCCTGATTTAATGCCCTTTGTCACATCCTTTGTCCTGCAGAGCAGCAAAAGCCCTTTGAATATTAATGCAGCCCCATAAAAATATAGTGGTTTGGCTATCAAAGTGCATGGAGTCCTTGCCGCTGCCAGGAGCCCTGAGACACAATCCTAGAGAACAATGGCCCTGTCTTTCTTTGTGGGTTTCATCCCTGATGCCCATTGAGAATTTCCTCCCATGCAGGGAGGCAGTAGTATGGGGGCCTGGCACTCCATCTCTGCTTCTGCTGATAAAGTTGTGATAGTCTCCCCAGGGGCTCCGGCATACTAACATCAAAGACACAACCAAAGGGGACCAGATTTTGGGAAATGGAAAAAGCAGACACGACTGTTTCTGCAGCAGCTGCCTCCCTCTATAGACTTTGCTAGCTGAAGACCCCTGTTTCTAGATGACCCAAGAGCTTTATCTGATAGGATTGGTAAGTACAGGTCTAAGGATGACTGTTTCTCTCTTCCACATTTGGGATAAAAGGGAATGGTTTTCTGTCCCTGTGAAATATAAAATGACACAGACCAGCAGTTTGCATGAAGCTTTTGTGTGTGAAATGGATAAAACCATGTCTGTATGTCATAGATAACCCAGGAGGTGACTCTGAGGAGCAGCCCCTGTCGGGATGGTTTCTCTCCTAAAGAGCTTAGAGAGTGTGGTGTACTGAGGGACCAGGAGAATGGGCAAAAGGCTTCAGATCACAGATGATGTTGTCAGGGGAAGCAGGGAAAGTTCCAGAAAATGGATATTATTTAAGAAAGCCTTTGCATTTTAGGAAGGAAGAAAAAATAATTAGAAGGCAGCTAGAGTTAAGCAAATTGGGGGAAGCTTCCCTTCGGCATATTTTATCCAGCTGTGCCGAG